TCCAGATAATAAACAATCTGATTGGAAATCATATAACTACACTTTCACGGCGAAGAACACATCTCATTATGTCATGTTTGGATTTCAAGGTACTAATAATCGTGCTTACTACTTGGACTCAGTATCTGTTGTTGCTCAAAACGCATCAAGTACAGAATTGCTGAGGAATCCAAGTTTTGAAAGCTCAGCCACAACACCAATAGATTGGGTGATTTTGTGTCCAGGCTCGTGTAAGAACGGTGTAGGCGGGATTGTATCTAATTCCAGCTGCTTTAACTCTACAGGTAATTGCTATAGGGATACTTGCAACAGTGGTATCGATTTTATCGCTCAAACATTTTCGACATCGATCGGCAACATATACACACTTTCATTTTGGCTCAACTCGAATGGTGGTGGCTCGGGTGGATCTGGAGCGAATAATTTCTACGTTGATATTATCTAGATACTATGTAATGGGTGTAAGGAATCGTAGATTTCAGCTAAATAGGAATACGGAAACCCGCTGTCCACATTTCAGTCACACCTATACCGCCGTATGAAACTTTTGATGTGTGAATATAATTTGTTACTTATGCTTCGAAATTTGAATTAACTATAAATGTACTGAGTATTGCTCATCATTGATTTGAACTTCAAATTATTCTAAAGCTATCTGAGTGCATTTCTTAATAAAGTCTTTCTAACATTCTACCGTAGTCATTTGATTAATATGTGCAACTGATGAGTTTTTGTGACTGACAATAGGGAGGCACCAACTGATCAATCGCTTTTTGAGTTGGAACTATGTGCATTACGTAGGAATAAATGAGCTATGAATAAGATGAAAAAAATTCAGGCCGCTTGCTCATTGTTACGAAGATACTGCACTTTTACAGTGAGTTTTTAAACGAGTGCCGTGGCCCTCGTCAGGAACATCAGAAAAAATGATTTTCGAATTTCGACCTGAAACTTTACATAGAAACAGATCTTACTGAGAATACATGGTGTTTTGTGAAACTTCCAGACCTTTTTGCTGTTTCCATGTCTAGTTGCAACTATGATAACTTCATTCGAATACGTCAGAAGATTTGATTTTCTCGTTTCAGGATAGGAATACATCAAAACATCTGAAACCTTCAGAACATACTATGTTTAGTAAGATCTGTTTCTGTGTAAAGTTTCAGGTCGAAATTAGAAAATCATTTTTTCTGATGTTCCTGATAGAGACCACAGCACTCATTTAACAACTCACTGTAAAAGTGCAGTATCTTCGTAACAATGAGCAAGCGGTCCAAACTTTTGTCATGTTATCTATAGCTCATTTATACCTACGTAATGCACATAGTTTCAACTTAAAAGCGATTGATCAGTTGGTGCCACTCCCTTGTGAATCTTTGTTCACAATTACTCCAGCGGTAGACACAGAATCGTTTGGTGTCCTGTCTAAGAGAGTATGTTGAATATTCTTACTTTCAGTTAGAACGGGGGTGTGCGTGGGTGGGGTGTAGCTGCCACTGTAGAGGAAAGGGTTATCAACAATCGCAATCAAGTTCTTGTCGCAGTGTTTCTCTTTTTCTTTTAGCTATTGAAGAAATTGATGTTTAATAAAATAATACATATGAACAAGTAGGAAAAGTGAAAGATAGTAATTTCTCAGAAACACCTTCATTATTTAGTTGATATCCTATCAATCAATCACCGGATTCAAACACAATTTTTTAGGAAATCGAAATTGGAATAGGCTTTTCCGCTTTTCCGCATGGAAACTGGAACTGCGGTTTCGATTTCTGGCATTTCTTTGAACCACAGGGCTCTATTCTTTATCCTTGCTTTCCTATTTTAAATAACATTGACTGGTGTGCCTCATGACAACGAGACTGAAAGCGGTTTTTCCCTTCGTGCAGCAGAAACGAAATGCAAGATCGAAACATTCAAGTGGACAATAGAGGGTGAGAGTGTCATAGGCGGCGCGTCAGAGTAGTGTGGGTTAGCAATTGCTATCTCATCAAAACATTAGAGATTGCAATAAAAAGTTATTGCTACCCCTAATAACCTATATTTGGGTGTGAGTGTCGGTATGGGTGTAAGGAAGTCAGATACTCACGTCTATAGCCATCCACATCTACACTCCATACCCGTATCCAACCACGCCCTGAAACACACATCCACACCCCTTTATGATCTTGATTACCTTGAAAAATAGCATGTCAAGAACTACTAAATCTTCAGTCGTTTTTCATGTTGCAATAGTTCAAATGAATTTTGTATATCCATCATCAATAAAAAATATTTTATTACGACTATCACTAGCTTGTTGTTTGATGTGCTATCAGCCTTGATGACAAAACTAGATATTGTTGAGCGATTTTCATATCGGATTTTGTCAATATAACACAATGAGCACTATTGAAAAAAATAGTACATGACAATGTTATTACAGGTTCTCGTCCATAGTACAAGCTATAGACCTGAAACTTTGTCTTATGTAATACTGAACATGACTAATAATTAACCAAGGTTTCAGATACTTTGTTTTTGTTAAATACGGGAATAATGAATTTTAAAAACGGATCTGAATTATGGGACATTCTTTACCAACATTTTGAAGCGTGTATCAATAGCTTTCGAGTTGTTTCCTAAACGAAATGGAGATGTAGGTGCAGGTGTAATTGAGGCTCCGCCTAGATCTTGGTCTGTACTTTGATGAGGATTTTTATAGGCACAAGTAAGGATCATGGTCGGTGTAGGTGTGGGCTCGAGTCAAAATTGGTATTAGTTTTGGTTTAGGTTTGAGTGAAGTTTGACCTAAATATTGGTATGGATGTGATTGAAGTTTCTTGTA